AATGCTCACGACCAGACCGGTAATGGTAAGTTAATATATAAAATATTTTTTTAAACAATGTTAATAATGTCTTAAATGATTATAAAATTATATATATATATATATATATATATATATATATATATATATATATAATTTTTTTAGTTCATAAATTTTAATGGATGAAGTTGTAATTCATCAATGCTTCATCGAAAACGTCAACGCGATTATTCATTTGTTTGGTTTTCAATTTGATAATTTCCAAATTTGAAAATAATGTATTCAATAACATGTTTTTTAAATAATAAATAATTAATTTTTACTTCATTTTACTTTTAGGGAGCATTCAAGAATTTACATGTGGAAAATTGTATTACAGAACATTTTATTTAGATGAAAAAAGGAATTCCCTTTACGTTGGAGCCATGTAAGTATTCATTTTTAAATGAAAATAAAAATGGAGAGAATATTTGCATACAATTGACAAAAATAAAAAAATTTTACTTTACATTCGGTTAAAATAATAAAGTTTCCAGTACTTATTATTCTCAGTCTATAAAATAATTATTCATAAGTATTCATCAAATTAATCGAATGATTACCAGGTGATTGTACATACTTGATTGAAAACAATAGGGTTTTATACAAATATTCCTTGCCATAATAAAAAATGTATGCATGTATACTAATCCAATGTGACACACACACACACACACACACACATATATATGTGTGTGTGTGTGTTTAAAAAAAATTTTTTTTAAATTGCTAATTTTTTTTTTTTGTTCCAGGGACAAATTATTCAAATTGAAATTGAATTCCATAAGTCATTCAAGCTGTGAGGTAATATTTATGAAAAATTTAATTTTAAAAACAAATAATATTAATGCTTTGATTGTATTTTAATAATAATTAATATTTTTTTTTTTTTTTTTAAAGAGAGATTCACTTTCATTAGAACCGTCAGACGTTGGTAACTGCGTGTCAAAAGGAAAATCTGAGGTAAGTTTTTTTTTTATTTGAAAAATTCTTGATGAAATTCGAAAATTTCAATTCGGTTTTTTATTAAGATGCAGTGACATATGTTTTTTTTTTTTTTTTAATTAATTTAAAATTTTATCTTTAAAAAAATTAATAAATAGTAATTTTATTTTACAGTATTTCGACTGTAGAAATCACGTTAGAGTAATTCAAGCCATAGGTGACGGTTCTCGTTTTTATGTATGCGGTACGAATGCTCATAATCCAAAGGATTGGGTTATTTATGTAAGTTTGAATTATCTCATTTTTTATTTATTTATTATTTTTTTTTTTCTTAAAAAATTTAAATTCCGAGTCGCGAACACAAGAAAAAGAAATTTTATAGGGGCAAAATAGGCCAAGTTACTGTTTTTAATCATTTAGTAGGTACAC